CGGATGGTGCAGAAGGTAGGAGGTAGATGGTAGTACGAAGGTAGGGGTAGATGTATAAAGGCTCTAGAGGTAGATGGTGCGCAGAAGGGTAGAGGCTTAGATTGGTGGCAGAAGGTAGAGCGTAGATTGTGGCAAGAAGTAGAGGTAATGGTCGTGCCAGTAATGTAGAGCAGATGGTGCAGAAGGTAGATATATGTAGTAGAAGGTTCAGAGGCATGATGGCTGGCAGAAGTAGAGGTAGATCGGTGGCTAGAGGTAGAGGTAGATCGGTAAGTAGAACGGCTAGAGGCTAGGGGTGGCAGAATGTAGAGGTAGATGGTGCAGAAGCGTAGAGGTAGGAGTCGGTGCCATGAAGCTTAGAGTAGATGGTGGTAGAAGCGTAGAGCGCAGATGGTGGCGCCAGAAGGTAGGTAGACTGGTAGTAGAATGTAGAGTAGATCGTGCAAGAAGGTTCTAGACGATATATCGTCGTGCAGAGGTAGAGGTAGATGGTGGCAGAAAGTAAGGTAGATGGATGGCATAACGCTAGAGGTGAGATGCGTGTAGAAGGTAGCGCAGATGGTGCAGAAGGTAAAGGTAGATGGTGGCAGAAGGTAGAGGCAGATGGTGGCAGGAAGGTTGAGGTAGATGGTGGGCAGAAGTAGAGCGTAGATGTGCGCAGAATGTAGAGGTAGATGCTGGCAGAAAGGTAGAGGGAGAATGGGAGAAGGTGGTTAGATCGGTGGCCAGAATTAGCAGGTAGATCGGTGCAGAGGTAGAGAGTAGATGGTGGCAGACGCTCAGAGGTAGATGGTAGGTAGAGGTAGAGGCAGACTGTGCGCAGAAGGTAGAGGTAGATGGTAGTAAGAACGTAGAGCGTAGATGGTGGGCAGAAGGTAGAGTGTAATTGGTGGCAGAAAGGTAAGGTAGATGGTAGCTGAAGGTGAGAGTAAGTGGTAGAGAAGGCTAGAGGGCAGATGTGGCAGAAAAGTAGAGGTAGATGTGCAACGGTTAGAGGCTAGCATTCTGCAGAAGAGTAGAGGTAGATTCATGTAGAAGTAGGGTAATGGTGGCAGAACGGGTAGAGGTCAGATGGTGGCAGAAGGTCGAGGTAGATGGTGGCAGAACGGTAGAGCGTAGATGGTGGTAGAAGGCTAGAGTAATGCGGGCAGAATGTAGAGGTAGAACTGGTGCAAGTAGAGGTAGATGCTGCAGAAGGTAGACGGTAGATGGTGCAGAAGGAGAGGTAGATTGCTGCGCAGAAGTAGAGGCAGATGATGCAGAAGTAACTAGATGTGGCACAAGTCAGCAGCGTAGTGGGGCAGAAGTAGAGTTTAGATGGTGGCAGAAGGTAGAGTAGATGTGGCCAGAAGGTAGAGGTAGATGGTAGTAAGTAGAGGTAGATCGTAGTAGAAGGCTAGTACGAGGTTAGATCTGTGGCAAAGTAGAGTTATCCTTCAATCTTTATAGCTAGTCAGATGCTACGTGCCTACCGTCTCGGCCATCTCTATCAGTAGTCCGTACACACAGCCAGGACTCATCAGCATCGATGACACGACAGACAGCACGACGGCAACTATCTGTCAACGGCTCTTTTGCACTTGACATTCCATTAACTCGCGCCAGTATCATCGCTTCTCACCAGAACGCTTTCGTCACGTGCATCAGCTGCTTCACTGATGCCAACTTTTATGCAACCAAGTAATATGCCAGAGTTGCCATGGAACAGAAACACAGCAGCAGCAGCGGCATTCGGGCGACGAGATCTGTTGTCATGGTCACCGTTGATCAGATCATCCTGAACACGTGATCTATTATCAAACAATTGCTTGTCACGTGCTCGATTGTCATGGACGTCAGGTGGGAAGCACGCACGCGTGCGTGCGTCTGAGTAGTATAGTGCCTACTCGTGTAAGACGTTTGCGAATTATTCGTCGTCACGTGATTTGATACGTCGTTTGCTGCTTTGTTGTCGTTAGCAACACAGGCGTCGTGATTCAACCGACATGTTTGATGACGCTGATGTCAGTGATGAACGGTGAAGCGGCCCAGGCGGATTCACAGCAGCGACTACGCACTGCTTGCGTCGATAGCATAGTATAGTTCGTAGTTACTAGCAGTTTTATGCAGTGTGCCCCGATACTTGCTCGCATCGGTTGTGACTCACGCTTGCGTCCTTGATTTGGCAGAGCGCAGGGTGAATTAGCAATCTCTCTCTCTCTCTCTCTCTCTCTCCTCTCTCTCTCCTCTGGCTGCTCTCTCTCTCCTCTTCTCTCTCTCTCTCTCTCTCTTCTCTTTCTCTCTCTCTCCTCTCTCTTTCTCTCTCTCTCCGCACTTCTTTCTCTCTCTCCTCTCGTCGCTCTCTCTCTCTCGCACTTCTTTCTCTTTCTCTCGCTCTTCTTCTCTCTCTCTCTCTTTCTCTCTTTCGCACTTTCTTTCTCTCTCTCCGTCTCTCTCTTCTCTCTCTCTCTTCTCTCTCTCTCTTCCTCTCTCTCTCGCTCGCTTCGTTTGCCGCTCCTCTGTTTCTTTTTCACCCCTCCGCCCTCCTTCTCTGACCCCTCCTCGTGTGTTTTGATTACACCTAATTAATTAATTAATTAACACAGGTGAACACGCGGCGTGTGTTTTGTTGGCATGCCTTGATCTACTTCTCCTCCCATTTGTTACTTCTCTCCCTCCTTCCTCCCCCTTCCTCCTCCTCATTCTCCTTTCCCTTCTCCCCATCACCCACATGTTTGTCGTCATTTACATCATCATTATTCCACCTCTTCCTCCGCTTCCTCCTCTTCTTCCTCCGCTTCCTCCTCTTCTTCATCTTCTTCATCTTTTCATCCTTGTCCTCCTAGGACTCCTCCTCTTCTTTCTCCGCCTCCTCCTCTTCTTCATCCTCTTCCTCCTCGTCTTCCCAGGACTCCTCCTCTTCTTCTTCCGCCTGCTCCTCTTTTTCATCCTCTTCCTCTTCGTCCTCCTAGGACTCCTCCTCTTCTTCATCCTCCCTTGCCGCCGCCGGCCGCTGCTAGCATTCTGGCAGCTTGCCAGCTGCTGCCTGGCCTTACCATGGTCCTCACCCACCTCACAAACGGGCGCTTGCAGCAAACAGCTTGCGAAACCTTAGATGTAATCTTAATTATTCTCTTATTTACTGGGCCGACTACGTTCGTGTATGTCCGCCTACGTTCGTGTATGTCCGCCTACGTTCGTGTATGTCCGCCTACGTTCGTGTATGTCCGCCTACGTTCGTGTATGTCCGCCTACATTCGTGTATG